GCTGGAACTTTCTGCACCAGTATTAAATATTCGAGGGAAAAAATTCAGTAATAAAGAAATTTTGATCAATGATTAATAAAAATTGTTTTAAACATTTTCAAATAGATAATTATAATCACTATATATATTATCGTTCATAAAATATGCAGTGACTATCTTATCGCTTAAAACACTTAAGAATGTTTACATTAACAAGAGATGTCGAATATGAATCCATCTGAAGATAGATTTCTTACGATGAGTATAACGCATTTGTAATATATACATTTTTTAACTGAATTGTAAATTTTAAATTCATATTTGAAGTATAAAACTTTGTATATTTTTGAAAATTTTGAAAAAGAAATTTCTGTAAATGTTGAAATTTGCTTAAACCGTATAAGTAAACTTTAAAAATTAACAATATTGGTACGGAACTCAACAGAATTTCAATAAAAATAGTACTTTTAGTAAAATTAGTACTCATTTTTAAATACTATCAAATAATTGATAATTTAATGGGCATGTCTAATGATCATTTTTGACGGCCAAATTTCTATTTTTTTACTTTTTCCTCTGCATCTCAGAAATCGCCAGAACTGTCTTAGCAAAAATTTTATCAATACCTCATCTAGTCATTCGTTTCGTCAAAATAATTAAATTGTTTTTTGAATCATTCAAATCGGGTACTCCGCTCTCATAAAAACTGAATTACCGTTTTTGGCACTTTTTGGCACTTCACCAAAAACTAATAAGCACATCTTCAATAGGAATCTTTTTTGAATTACTCAAATCGGTTGATTCATGCGCCTAAAAACGTGGACGAAACATTGTATCCAAACATACATATATACACACACACACACAAACATCCATTTTTTATCTAAATTTTCATTTTTGATTTTTTTGCGATTACTGTACTTACCCTACGGGAGGTTGAAAAAATGTGATTTGAGTAAAAAATATTTATTATTTAATTTGTATTAAAAATTTGTATTAATTTGAAGTATTAATTTAATTAAATTTTAAATAAAATTTTCTTCAAACGTTGCTTAATTGAATTAAAATTAATTTTCATTGTTACAAATATTTCTGAAAATCTCTAAATTTTGTTGACTTCAAAATTTTCTATTACCTAATATAAAATTTTATTATTATTTATAATTAAGTTTAAATATGTATGTTATTAAAGCTGCTTGTTAACCGATACTGTATCAATCTCTGAAAATGTAAAAAAATCCTGAAAATAGAATTAAATAAATAAAATAGCAATTTAAATTTTTATTTATAATTTATTTTCGCATCTTTTTTTGGTCTATAATGATTTGGTATTAGTTTTACAGTTTTTCCTAAGTATTTCTCGATATATATTGTGGTATTACTGGATTTACTGAAATTTTGATTAAATTTGAATTATACATCAGCTATAACAGATACAATAAAAAAATCACAGCGTATTACAAGTGAACTATTGAAATGGAAAATATAGAATTTAGAATAATCATAGGTTCTAGACATAATTTTGATTATATGATTTTATTATAGAATTTTGAGTATTACTTGATTCAATTTGTATAATTAATATTTATTACATTAGGGAAAATCACAAACTGTTAGTTATGTACTATATAGCAGTCCGACAAGCTAAACACTAATTTAACAAAAGAGAGAAATATGTACAGGTTCATTTATAATCGAATCAACATCTAAATAACTATACAGATAAAATTTGTCGCATATGGTCGAAAAAATGTTGCATCGTTTTGATAATACAAATTGTCGTTAATTTTTTATGAACATATAATTAATTTCTGATAAGTATCTGATTAAATGTATGAACTTTTATATCATAAAATTATTATTATAATTTGGAACGATGCACTATTTTTTTCGACGCATTTGCTTATATTTTACATACAACAATAAAGTTTGAGATCTTACTCGCACAGTCACTGAAATATTCAGTAGATTTCTATATAATTTAAATATATCTACATAAATAATATATAGTTCAACAAACTATCATGTTTTGTCACTAACTGTTTCGTTTTATTGCACTTGTATAAAACTTTTAATTTGTCACCACTATTTGAGTGTCACTAAAGCACCACATCAATGAGGTATAATTTTATAGTCACTCGAGTGTGTATTCAAGTCCAGTATTTTTTGGTGAAATAAAACTTTTTATTGAATCTTTCAATTAGATTTTCACGTCACCTGAGCAGTTCATTGATAAATTCAGAATGACAAACTTAACAAACTAGCAATTTCTGAATAATTTTTGTGTCGTCGTTCACCTCCATTTTCATCATAACGTTATCACAAAAAAATTTCACACCACATTAACTTTTACTCCAACTTTTCCCTTAAGAACTCCTACTTCTTTTCCACTAAGAACATTATTTCAAGGAGATGGTTTCTTTAACTCGTTGCGCCCAAAGACATGACTTGTCCATTGGTTTTGGCAGCATAATTTCCTTGACTGGTCGCCAAACCATTATTGTTAGGGTCACCTCCAGGATTGCTTGACCCTCTTGGTGGGCAAGTCGTCATTTGTTGAGACTGTTGGTGATTTTGGGACTGAGGTTGTTGATTCATCATTTGATGAGGATGGGGATGAAGACCGTTTGTCATCTGGAATTAAAAAATATTTTTTTCATTAATTTAAGCGTAATTGGTAATGGAAAACGAACATTATGCATAGATGACACTAATGGAAAGATAATACAACGATTGCTTAAAGCTGCAGATTCCATCTGTGGGGCGTTCCCATTAAGAGCAGTACAGCTGTTTCCAAAATACTATTTTCGAAAATAAACCAAAACTTTTGAAATGGTATGAGAAATAAACGAAAAAATAATTATTTTTATGCATATTTTCATATAATATTGCATATAATTTTACATAATATTGCAGTGGAGTAATTATGAAATAAAATTGTCGAAATTAAGGGAGCGCGAGAATTTTTTATATTAGAGAGGAGGCGCGCGGCGAGGAAAAGGTTGGAAGCCACTGGCTTAAAGATTTTTGTGGTGCAGACATTTTCTCTGTTAGAAATCAATCTCTTTCCTAAATTAGTGTCTTCAAAAAACTGTTCATAATCTAAAAATCATTTTTTAAAATAGGGTAACTTTGCATATGACCTAAATTAATTATTCTATTGGGAAATATTTGTTAATATTTTAATACTTCAAAAAAATTTGTAAAGATATTGGAAAATTCTTAGTTAAATCAAACAATTTCATTTTATTTACCGATAACAACTACCGATAAAAAATTCAAGCACGTTAATGCTTTAAAAATAATTTATAATGATATTAGCGAATTATTAGTTAAATCAAACAATTTAATTTTCTTTGCTGCTAACAAAATATTGAATATTCAAGCACGTTAAAGTTTTAAAAATAATTTATAAGGATATTGTCGAATTCTTAGTTAAATCAAACAATTTAATTTTATTTACCGATAACAAAATATTCAAAATTCAAGCACATTAATATTTTAAAAATAATTTATAATGATAATAAATTTTCCAAAATTCTTACAATTAGTTAAATCAAACAATTTAATTTTATTTACCGATAACAAAATATTTGTTGAAATTTAAGCACTACAATCAAAAATTTTTCTATTTTAGATATCGATGAAGATCAATTTGAAAATATGTAATTGAAAAACGTAGAATATGCAATTAAAATTACTAATGAGGTCTGTAATATTATCTATATTATTAAAATATGTTTAAACGTTCTGATAATTCAAAAAGAAGGTTAATCATTAATTATTTTTCTTTTGCTTTGTATTGCTAATACTAATAATAATAATATTCACTTGTAACTTTATGACAGTGGTTTCCAAACTTGTCGTTCCTCCCTCAATTTTTTTAATAATTTTTTTTTTGAATACTCAACTGATATTAAGAGACTACAAATGAATATGCAATATTATGTAAAAATTTGCTTAATAAAAACTAATTATTTTTTTGTTTATTTTTTATTATTATTTCAAAACCTTTGAGTTATTTTCGAAAATAGTATTCTGGGAACAGATGTACGCGCCTCCTTTAAAATACCCTAGATCCCCTAGCGCCCCACAGGTTGGAAACCATGGCTTTCTGATGTAATTTAGCATCACTTATGATAACACAAATATGAAGTCGAACTAAAGTTATATTCTGACATTTGTGCCATTTGGGAGTAACATTTCAGAAAGTGGTAGTGTAACCCCTCGCTTGTACGGTTACGATTGTTCTAAAGTTTTTAGATAATTCGAGACTACCAAATCATGCGACTTCTCAACATAATATTCCGGTAATATAACATAGCTATTTTTTTATTCAAGAACTGGACCGTTAGTATGGCCAAACTTTTACTAAAAACGATAACCCATTTTCGATAATTAAGGGGAAAAATATAGTGCCTGGTATGGTAAAAATGAGTAAAACCAAAAACCAAAACAAAACCGAAATTTTAATAAAATCGATAGCCATCAATCACGAAAATTCGTTTTATATCTCAAGAATTGTTCTGGTATAACAAATATAACAAATATCTAAAGCCACTTCTATGAATTAACATTGTAATATGATTTTTGTAATTTTTTTCATAATTTATTTAATTTGTATTATCAATAATGTTTCAAATGATTATTTAATAATGAAGAGTTGTATTATTATCATAAGATAAATTTACAAAATCCTAGTTACTCACATTTCCTTTGTGTAATGTGTTATTGAATAAATAAATCCTTCCAAACAAAAAACCGACTAAAATCTATATCCTTCTCTAGTGAATACAGTCAATGACTCATTTTTAATATTTAGTGGAAAAAATATAGTGCCTGGTATGGTGAAAATTAGTAAATACAGAACATATATATTATCCAATATATTATATCTTCAAACTATTCTATACACTTTAAATCCCCCTGATAATCTAACTAAAGCACATACATCTTAGTATGCGGTCTCAGGAGCTCACCTGCGCAGGTAGACCTCCGGCGGCACCCGACGCCGCCTGTCTCTTCAATATCGGTGATGCGCCATCGACGCGAACACTAAGCGTTCCTCGTAGTCGTACTCGCACAGGATTTTGTTTTCGCACAGGTAGAATCTATCGCCACACAAAACCTGAAACAAAAGAATAGTTATGTAATTATAATGTTTTTAATAACAAAAAAACGAAAGTACTTAAGGATAAACTTATACTATAACCAAATATTTAGAGGCCAATTCTCCGATAAAATAGAAATATTACAGTAAAGCTATGTTGCGCCCCTTTGGGGGCGTCCATTAACGAGACTATTTCCCGTAACTTGAGGTTTTTAGGAGGAGAGGAGGTTTGACAAGAAAACACGAAATATCACTGGGGAGAGGAAGGGGTATAGAAAGATATCACGTGTATTATTTTTTACCAGATTTTTTTTAAAATCCAAACAATTTAAAAAAAACTCAAATTTATAATTTTTTTTTCGTAACTAAAAATACACGTAATATTTGGCGAAGGAGGGGAGAGTGGTCAAAAAATCCTTAAAAAATCGATCACGTGACGAATGGACGCTTCCTTTCTGTATATAAATTGGTAGCAAGAATTGTCAACATGCTATGTATTTGCTGTGCGATCAAGCGTTTTACACATAAAAGCTGACTTTACGTATATGTTATCAATGACAAATCAAAAAGATGTAGTTATGATAACATTCTTTTTTTACTTTTGTGTTTTCTAGGTAAGGTTTTATATCTAACGCCTAACTACACAGTAAATACATAGCATTTTGACTATTTTACTACCAATTTATATGAAGTAAAGACCGTAACATTTGGTTGCCATAACAACAACACTATGTTAAGTTACCATTTTTTCTGAGTATTCGCCTCTTATATATTATATTCTATAACTTATTATCCCATTGGTTGGATTATAAAGAAGCTTAAAATATCATTTTTAATTATTGGTTTTATGAACTGACATTTTAAAATATTTGTTTATGTATTTTACGTAATCAAAAGATACATGTTGTATAAATTCTCATTCTCAAATTAACTTCTGTACATTTAGGTGTTACTCATGTACTTCAAAAGCAAAGTTATTTGCTTAATTCGTCAATGAGAAGCATAAACTAATGGGGGCGCATGGCATCGTGTCTTAAGGCAAATTGCTGGAACTTCTCGTACTAAAAATTATTATTTTTCTAAAAGATTAACATTTTTGAAAGAATTTACTCTGAAAAATTAGATTTTTGAGAAACTATAAATTTTTGACAAAAATTTACTTTTTTTGAAAAAAAGACTTTTTGAAGAAAAGTGTATTTTGAAATATTTTGGAAATTCTGAACTTCTTTTCAAAGCAATCGTACTGCATTAACTTATTAGAGACGAAATATCGAAGCGCGTAAGCGCCGCGCCGCCGTCTAACGGATAAACATTGGTACGTAACCCATAGGAATGTAAACAAAATTTATTACGGAACGGCTAGACCTGCCTTCGCCAAAAACTAATCAGCACGTCTTCTTATCAATGCGAATCGAATGTTTTTTGAATTATTCAAATCGCTTAATCCGTGTTCCCGAAATCGACGACAAAAATTTGTATCCGCACACACACACACACACACATACACACATACATCCATTTTTTTAAGGTATGCCAAAATTTTCAGAAACCTTTGAAACGTAAAGATATATAAAAATTTTCATTTTCGATTTTTTTGCGATTACTATAACTTACCCTACGGGAAGTTAATAAGCAAAAAACTATCTTTCTTTTAAACCGATAAAATATTGGCTGATGCATTTATTCATCTGTTATATTGTTAAATATTAAAGAAAGTCCAAAGAGTAAAACAATGACTAATGACAAAATATTAATGACTAATACATCAATTATAAGATCAGAAAGTCTCCTTTTAGCTCATATGATATTACACGATTTTTAATTTAAAGATGCCCAAAAATGTTCTAAATTAAGAATGTCAAAAACTATCCTGCCATATCATCATAAATAGAGTCAGTATATCACTGAATAAATAAATGTTACGGAGCACTAAATAGAAAAATTTTGGAGTATGTGAAATTTGTAAAAAAAGTACAGCATTCAAATTTCTATTAACCAAACGAATTCAGTATTACGATCAAAGTTGAAAACGGCAAAAAGTTCACAGCGAGATTTTTCTCTGGTCTATGTCAACTAACCCATTGTCAAATGTTACCAATACGATTTTAAAACTTTTCTTCTATTTTCATAAAGATTTTTTCATATTTGTATTTCTTTTTATTGCCAGTAGATATAAAGGTGCGATAGACACATTTCAAATATTTTATATTCGTACTATAGGGCTTTAGTGCTGCTGCGATTGACAAGCAATTTTCTAAAGTCCGTTCTGTCAAATATATGGATATATCCATACAATATATCAAATCCTTTATGAATTACATCAGTCGCAAAATTAACAAAAATAGACCGGTGATATATGTTCAAAATCAGGCATTGTCAATCGTAGCAACTATGTTTGAAATAAGCAATATCTTTCTACATTTTAATAACATTCATAGTAAAAATGAAATTTATAGACTACATAATAAGTAGACAAGAATTTTGTTTCTTCAATTTTTTGCTAAAGATAGAACACAATATGAAAAGAGCATAAGCAAAATGTAAATAAGCAAATGTAAGTGTTATACGAGTATATGAATTTAATATTATTTTGCTAAAAAAATTAATATATGCAGTTTAATAAATGACAACTATAAGAGAATATATTTTCAAAATTAAACTATAAAATTTTATTTTATTTCACATTTAAGACATTTAAAATTTCAATCAAATTGAAATATTCAAAAAAATATTTTAATACACTATAGACGGGGTTAAATGGGACAGTCAGGGAACAAACAGGTCCAATGTCTTACTTTTAATTTTAAAGAAATTTTACGAAATAATAATCACATTTATTTACCAATAAAATAATACGGACACATTTGTTACATAGATAATGCTGTATATAACCTTGATCTGTAATCAAGGTCAGAAATATTCATCAGAGAGAGTTAGATTAACTATTAATTTAATTCATGTCTTGTAAAATAGTTTTATTAACTTAAGTGACTTTTTTATTAATTATTTTTTATTGTTTACACTTTTTCCAGGATAAAAGTCCTTTTTAACCCACCAACTTGTAAGCTTTTATTCAGGTTATATAAACATCTTTAGAATATATTTCAAAAATAACATTCATATTATAAAGCATTAAATAACGAACACTTAAAAATGATATTCAGGTGTCTTAAATTAAACAACAGTGCTCACAACCAAAAAACCTAAAAACGAAAGAAAATACTCTTGTTATGGGTGTTTAAGCATTACTGTTTATCTCTTGAAAGGGACGTAGCTTGATTCAAAGTGGTTACACATCTTTGCCCTCTACTTTCAAATATTGTTGTTAAAAATTTCATATCTTCACTAGTATTTGAAATGTGGACCTTTTTACTCGCGGGTCTTTAAGCCGTGCTCTGCCCTATATGGAATGTTAGAAAATCGCTAGCAATAAGTTTCTGAAAATAATCGGCATGTGATATAATTGAATAGAAGATTAAATAAAAGATAAACTATTTAAGGAGCTTTGAGTTAAAACGTATTATGTAATTGCAAATAATAGGCAAAATTACTAAATGTAAGCTTAATATTAGTCAAGATACGTATTGCAAAAATGTGACTTGCTGACGCTACGTTTTACAGAATTTTCAAAATTATTATTTAAAAATATCAAAATTCATTTTTTTAGTAAAACACAGCGATTAAGTGCACTTATACCAGTGTATAGATATTTCGGCATTAAATCCTCTGAATGTAATTAACCGTTTTAGTGTCGCAATACATATATGCAAAAAAATGCTAAACGTAATTAATTACCCTCTGAAATTGGAGTAAGGAAAATAATATGTAACTTTTGTAAAAATGTTTCAATTTTTGAATTTTTTCAACATCATTTTCTAGTTGGTTTATGCTATGAAAATATAGGCCAATTATCAAAATTTGTGTAAAAAATCAACCAATTTATTACAGAATCAAACTCACTGACGCGTAAGTCGCTACAGCGCTTCTGGCTACAGCACTTTTAGATATAACGGTTAAAATTCGTTTTCAATCCGACTTCCGATCTTTTCATATTTGCAGAACCTTTTGAGAATCTCAATCCTCCCCGTAGCCCATGACAGATGTAAACGTTTCGTTTGTTTCGCGACAAACAAACAATTTTCCATTAATTATTTAATAACGCGCGGGTCCGCGTGTGTCCATTGAAATCATTGCATTGTATCGCACGACGCGCGACATATATTCCCGTTCGGATCTCCCATGCGAACCTACATACTACTATGCCAAACCAAACCAAAGCGATTGTATGCGCCAGATGGATTACCAGCAGCCGGATTAATTAATCCGCTGGAATTATGCGGTAAAGAATATAATTGCCGGCGGACAATGAAATGACATAGGTGTAACGGGAGCATATGCGATTGTAAATTTAACCATCCACGATTTTGATTTAATATGAGTTCAATTCAAAGTGGCATATATCATATTAAGGAAATTTGAGCAACTTAACATTTTATTAAAAAAAAAATAGTAGTGCATGGCATCGTGCCTTGAGACAAATTGATAGAACTTCCCGTACCATAGTATAAAATTAAAAAAAAAAATAGATTTGTTTGAAATTTTAAAACTTGTTGAAAATTTTGTATATTTTTTTTTAAACTTCCAATATTTTTTGAAAGTTTTGAAATTTATTCGAAATTTTGAAATTTATTCGAAATTTTGAAATTCTTCGAAATTTTTGTATTTTTTTGAAAATTTTGAATATTTTTTGAAAAACTTGGAACCCATTGAAGTCGATTAGTCCATACTGTCAAAAATATCAAAGACATTTCTTCGAACTATATAAACATTTGAAAGTTATAAATTTTAATACGGAACCCAAAGAAATTCAAACAAAATTTGTACTTATTATTGAAATATCTGATAATTTGATGCGCATTATGTGTGATGATCATTTTTGAAGGGCAAATAGCGTTTTTTTTACTTTATCTCTTGACCTCCGAAACCGCTGGGGCTGCCTTCCACAAAACACAAGTAAA